CCCCATGCTTGGGTATACTATCTAACTTAGCATTGGCATTATACATACTAAACAATGATGGTGAACATAATAACCAATAAAGCAGCTAAGATTATGTTGCTAGAGGACCCTTAGTCTAGCTGAAAACTTTCGAAATGTTTACTGAGGTCAAAGTTTATTTCCACAGCACTAATCCATCAGTACATTACAGCAAGGTCACACTGGAACTCTGCCTGGAGCTTAAAGGGCATAATCCCTCTCTTTCATGGTAGGCTTTTTTTTTTTTTTTTAATTTTCAAGTATTTGAAATGTAAAAAAATTGGAAGAAGAAAACAACATTTCTTTTTTCCGAACAGCAAGACATGAGGAAATTGATATTATTATAATAATTAGTAATAATAAGTAGCCCTGATCTCTGATATGAACCCATTCCAGTAATAATTCAGTTAGTCTCCTAATAGAAATGTTTATCTTTCTTAGTAACTTTTTTAATACATTTGGATCAAAAAGAACTCAAAGACCAGTCTGTTTTAGTTGACAAGATAACAATTCTCTCTTTGTCCTTAAAAGACTTCACTCAGCTGTACTCGAGGGACCACATCAGACTGTTGTTATGTAATCAAGTTAGAATTTAAGCTTAACTGGAGGTTGGAGGCAACTACTTTTTTTGTTTTCTCCTGGGGGTAAAAAGGAAAGAGCAAATCAGAAAGAGAAAGGGCATACCAGGGGAAAGTGACAGGAGTGATAATGTAATAACACGAAAGGTGACAGATGGAGAGAGGGCGACAGAAGGCGAGAGAGTAGAAGAAGAGTCGGGCAATTTGGAAAGAGAAAAAAAAAAAAGAGTCAATACAGAAAAGTAAGCATAGAAAGTGAAAGAGAGTACAATGGGTTTTAAAAGGTGGACCGAAACATGAAAATGTGTTTGTGATGACACAGAGTATGTCATGGGGGGAGGAACTACGCATGCAAACACACAGACGGGGGGAGGAGGCTGGACGAGAGCAATGAGAAGAGAGAGAGGGAGGGGAGAGAGAGAGAGAGAGAGAGGGAGAGGGAAATAAACAGAGTAACCATTCCTGCCAGCAGCAAGTCTGAGGCAGAGAGCTACTATTACCTCAGATATCGCTTCTGAACACTGTACTTCTCTGAGATCGACTGGAGCCCTCAAGTCTCTGGGAGGTTGTTGGCGAGGGATTTCAGGACCTCCTGTTCGAGGTTTATAGACTGGCGATGAGCCACGATCAGGCTTGAGTTCTCCAGAAGAGCCACTTTTTGAGCTGTAGAACTACTTCTTCAACTATTTTCAGACTCATTAACTGGAGCAAACAGGTTCTGTTTTCTGCTAAATGGGACACGTGTAGCGACTCTTTTTGACTGCTGGGAGGCTTAGACAGCAGAAGGAGCTGCTGGTTTTTTATTCTCTTCCTCTGGTATTCCTGCAAAGGGGACACAATGCATATATTACAGCCCTACTGCATCAACAGGTTTGTGTTTATGTGGATTTAATTCTGTTCACATGTAGTTGTTTTGGTGATGAGCCACTGCTGATATCCATATCTTGTGCTGCATGTTAACAACAGATAAAGACAGAAGACTTAGACTTAGACTTTCTTTATTGTCATTCAAACTTGTACTTTACAGTGCAGATAAGAACGAAATGTTGTTGCATTTGGCTCGTTGTAGTGCAGGATAAAAAAAACAGCAGCATGTATTTACATATAAAAATAAAAATAAGGTGCAGATATAAATAGATATAAAAAGAAAAGCTATGAGTAAAATTACTATACAGATAAATATATTGCACGTTATATTGTATTTTACAGTCCAGTGAGGTAGTCCTGTGTGGGGGCAGGACTGTTAAGAAGGGCTTTTTTCAGTTTGTCTGCCTGTTATTTTTCTGTTTAGCCACATTTTGTGAGTACTTTGGAGTTGATAACGGTCAACAACATTTTTAACACTCACAGGGGTATTTGATAACTGTTTAAATTGTCTTCTCATAAGAGAAACAGCTGTGGTTTTCATGCTTCTAAAGCTGTTTCCTTCTCCATCATTAAATTACACATGCTTGGTTCAATTTTCTGCAACACAGACACTTCCCTTCCATTTCCATTGATGGCTCCCAATCGCGGGGCAGATCTACACCACTATCTGCTCCTACTGGTAGTGCTCGACTCTCAGCTCTGGTGTCCTCTTCTGACTCCATACAGCAGAACTCCTCCTTGCCTTCTGGCTGATATAATTAGTCTCACAGGTCTGATTCTAACACTTCACATATTTAATCGCTTTCTTCCACATTGTGGTCATGTGGTTTTTGGTTTTGGAGCCATGGGGAGTCCCTCCTCTTCTGATCTGACTGAGTGCAGAGGAGGCAGGCGAACAATCCAGAAGTTCAACATATAGTTTTCATCTGAGGTCCTTGAGTGGAGTCTGATTGGACAGCTCTCAGGCAGTCAGTTTACAAAGCTTGTGGAAAACTATTGTACAAAAAATGTTCTTTCAGTGCTCGCTTCCCAACATTGCTTCTTCCATCATATGATCTTTCAGCTGATACCCTCAGAACTAAAGCTCCTGTCAAAGCAACTACAGCATTTGTTACAGCTGAATTTAAAGTGCTCACTGAAGGACTGTATTTAAAGTCACTGTGGGTCAGCTTTTGTGTAATTATAGTAGCATTTGTTGTATCAGTAATCATTCATGTTTGCTTAAATGTAAGCAAACATGAATGGTTTGAAGCCAACAATGTGTAATGAATATTTGTGTCTTGGAAGTTGTGTTTCTTATGCCCTGACTATACCAGACAAAAACAATGTGTATCTGCGCTAACTGCATTTTTAAGTGATACTCTTCAACCAACACATGGAGCAAGGTGACATGCTGTGTGTGCCAAAGCAAATATGCTATTGAGGAAACAAAAACAGGAACAAAAAGCACATGTGACTAATGGTCTAATATGATCTCTCTTTTTTTCTCCCTTTTGTACAAAAGGCAACTGTTGGCCAACATATTCACCATAAGAATTGCATGAATGTTTTCAGCTTGTTCTGCTAACCTCCAGTGCTTCACCATGACTATATCCAGCTTTAAATGGCCATGAGCGCTTTTTCTCACATTATTTGGCAATCAGAGATTATACATTTTTTAATGGTGTTCTTTATAGTTTTTGCTTTGACTCATGACTCCAAACACTGATGTCTGTTGATGAAAGGACACTGGACCAAGCTCTATAAAACTATGCTACAAAGATTGTTTTGTTTAATAGGTTCAGAAGTCAGAACTTGGTGTGTGTTTATATTATGGTAGTTTATTTCATAGTAATCAACAAACAGAGTAGATAGTTTCCCACTGCCTCACTGCCAGGCCATGTGCAGAGCGATAAAATTAATAAGTTAGTTCGACCGTGAAGAACAGCAAGAACAGAGCAAGAGACGTCAGAGGAGGGTTTTTTTTTTTTTTTTTTTTTTTTCGTTTTGGAGAGGAAAGTAGATTTGACAGCCACAGAGGGGAATGGAGAGAGGGAGATATTGGAAAGAGGGTGAAGAGCAGTGTTACCTAGCGTTACTTCAGATGGAAGTCTGGGGAGCAGAGAAGAGGAGAAGACAGAAATGACAGAGAAAGGAGGAAAATCAACGGCCCTGACACGGAGCAATGCCCATGAGAGGCAACAGTGGGAAGGACAGAGAGCGAGAGAAACATTTTATAGAGGGGAGAGGGTAAGCTGGAATGGGAGGGGTGTGGGGCTAACAGTCAAACATGTGGATAAATAAATAAAAAAGGAGTGAGAGAGGATGTAATCCAAATCTGCTGCCAAAGGCAACTGTAGACTCCATCATACTGTATGTGAGGAAGATAGAATAGAGAGAATTATAGAAAGAGATAGGTGGGGGAGAGATGAGTAAAGGAATTATCTGTATCCTGGTTTTTGTGTGTGCACTCCCAACATGTGCAGAGTGGGAGCAGAAGTGTGATTGCATGTGAATGAAAGGTGTATGTATGATATATTCATTTATTTGAATTAAAGACTGTCCTTGGGTTTTCCAGGTCGGCTTGTACAGAAATTAGAGTCTGAATAGAATTTGGGTCGTAAGTGAAAAGCAATAATGAATGTAGACAGATGTAGGCAGAAATTGAATCAATGATATGAAAAGACAAAATGAATGTTGGAGGAGACTTAAATTAAGCAAAGCACCTTTCCTCCCACTCCTTTCTAGGAAGTGATAATTCTTTGTTTTTTTCTTTTGTTATTCTATTCGAGTCGAACTTTGTACTGAGCTTGTCAGCTTGTAAGTAAGTCACATAATAGCCCTCAATAGTTCCAACACTCTTGGCTAACAGCTGGCAGCCTTTCAGCGCCAATCAGCCGCTCGTCAGCAGTGCTGAACAATTAATCAATTAGTCCAGAGCTTCACTAATCAGCCTTTTTATGTATTATTTGGTACTGAGAACAGTGGTTCAACTCTGCAGCTCTCCATATCTCTCTGGACTAATCTCACTTTCCCATTTGTCCATAACTGCCAACGTCTTTTAAATTCTGTTGAATTACCTAAGTGCTGATTAGTGTAAAGTGTATTATAAAAAGATGGACATCTCACCATCTCACCAAAAGTGAAGCCACAGCATTGTTGGCTATCCTTTCGGTACAGATTTTAAAGCCCTCCTCTAAGTTAGCAGAAAATACATGTGTCAAACTATATTATCAAAATATATTGCTAACAACTTTTTTTTTCATCTCTAATACTGAGATGTTATCTTCATTTTGACAATACAAGAAGTGGCAGCAGTAGAATTAATGTTTGATTCTTAATGGATTGATGATAAATAATTCAATAATCACCCTTTGACGGATTGAATGAATTGTAAAAGCCAACTGTCTTTTTTTAAGCTACTGAATTGTGGGGATTTTTCCTGTTTTTACCAGACTATGTTTTCAACACAAACCTTTGATGTCACCACCTTCCTCACACTGTATCATTGTTCTCTCTCCCCTGCCTGCACCCCCCCCCCTCCTTCCCTCCTCACAGGTGGCCAGATGTGCCGAAAAGAAAGAGCAAGAACAGCCAGTGTTCGGTGAAGAGTATGTCTGGTAAGGATTTTTTTTTATCATCTTCCCCTTCATCTCTCTTTGTGTTGTTGTCATCTGCAAACAACCAAGTGAACACAGTAATACAAAAGACATCTTATTATGGGCTGGTAGATTTGTTTTGTGTGGTCCAACACTCCACATCTGGCTCCCCACAGTTTTGCATGATGTCTCATTTATATGATAATCTCGCCCTCCTACTTTTTTTATGACTCTGATGCAGAGGCTTTGTTGAACACAGATAAGCTCACCTTGGTTGCCATAGCCGGAGCTTTTAGAGAGGTGTTTGAGTCCAACCATAGGAAGGACTCGACACCAAAACTATCAAATATAGTTAGCATTCTTAATTTAAGGTTGAAATGAACCCTTTTACTAAATCAAAGGGCCTATAAATGTTTCCAAGCATTATAAAGTTGAGTCAACAGATTTGAAAGCTTACCTGATCACAATTGAAAAAACAGCATGTTTTACTTCTGTGGTTTCAAACCAACACAATCCAACCTTTATTCCCATTAGAACATCAGTTCATTTGATGTCCCTTTTTATTTCCTGCATTTACAGGCTTGACTATCCGATTCCAAATGTATTACATTTTAGCGAAAGTGTTTTGTTTTTGTTGGAAATGTGATTTTGCAGTTAAGAATTATATGAATCTGTGACACGTTTGTTTGTGAGACTTTGAGTATCTGTGATTGGATAGTTAGGTCATGTGTGTAAAGCTGCATCAGGTGCTTAAGCATGCAAGTGTGCAGTTGCATGTCCCTCCACTTAAAAAAAATGAATAAAAACACCTTTTGTAACAACATGACAGCTTAGAGGTCCAAGTTGTAGAAGAGTCAAATCACATGCTAACTGAATGTGAGTTGAAATGATCACTGAGCAAAGGAAAACCTTTCACCTCCTAAGATAAACAAAGAAGCAAATAAGACGTCAAGATTAAGGCCGACCTCATGAGTTCTGGGAATTAGAGTGTAAACCTCATAAGCTGGCATGATATCATGTCTGTGTGCACAGCCGAGACTGCCCTTCACATAAATACTCCATCCTGTATCACAGTCTCTTTGGGCCCTATGCACAGGAGCATATTGAGGCCCCTGTGATAACACAAAGACCCCTCCTCACCCCCTCCTCTCCCCTCATGCTCTCCTCCCTTTCTCACCCTTTATTCTTCTTATCTTCCTTTCACCCAAACTCCTCTCCCTCAACCCGTCATCCTCCTCACCGTACCCCACGACCTCATTTTTCACCTTTCTCTCATTCCACCCCATCTCCCTCTTCAACCTCCTCCTCCTCCTCCTCTCCTATAGCTCTTAGTGTCTCTGTTCCAGGGTACATCCCCAGCTACCTGGAGAAAGATGAACCATGTGTGGTCTGTGGGGACAAGGCCACTGGATACCACTACCGCTGCATCACCTGTGAGGGCTGCAAGGTATGGAAGCAAGAAACTCTCCTTTTTTCCTAAATGTATAACAGATGAACTGACTAAACCCCTCACAAAAAATAGAAGTTGTCCAGTGTTACCTTAGCAACCGGAGTAGTTGCAACAGGCGCGTCAAGCCGTGGATTTTTCTACCTCTAGAAGTGGTGTGTTTTTATAATCATCCAGAAGACAAATCACTTCTTATTGTAAATATAAAAGATGCCCCTGACACACTTCTGGAGTATTTTGGGGTTCAGTGTCTGGCAAGTATATGTTGATCGAACCCTGATTCTATCGATTAAAAGACAACCTGCTCTACCTCTGAGCCACAGCCGCCTCATTGACAGTTTCTACATGACGATAAAGATCGTAATGAGGAAGTTCTGACTAGAAAACTGTTGGAATGTGACTCGGCGACAAGCTGTTCTGAGAAGCTCAAAGGATTGTAGGCAGAACTGGATTGCACTCTGGCATCTGAACGTTCTTCTCAGTCCGGATCTGGAATGACGTCTGAAAGAGGCCAAAAAAAGGAACCATTCACCTTAATAGTTAACAGAGGCAATGGCTTAATTAGATTCTGAATGACGGCGGTGAACCAATGCGTCAATTATAAGTGCGCCTAACTTGAGTTTCCTGGTTTAATAAACCTATTAAAAAACTACGTAAACAACCTTTTGTACGCACTGAAGTGGAATTAGTTAACTGTGGATCAACCTTTTGTTAATCTGATTATCAGCATGTCATAAATTTTGAGGTTAGAACGTTCTCCCCAAACTTTCTAATAATGGTTTGCCCTGCTAGGAGTGCTCAGCCCCAAGCCCAGCTTTTCCAACTTAACTATCCAGGGGTCAATGATTGATCTGCAAGTAGCAACATGCTTTTAAACAAGTAGAGGGAAATATGTGCATTAACTTAATAGAGGATAAATACCAATATGTCTGTTTGCTGAATTTGAGTTTGTAGCTAGCAGCCGGTTAGTGATAGAATTACTGATGTGATCAGAAGCAAAAAGGTGATTTAAAGATGAGAAAGATCTTTTTTATTTCTTACAGTCAGTCAGTTTGATCATTGAAGGCAGACATTTTTAGTAAGCGGAAACACAAAAAAAAGCTAACTTTCAAATTAAAAATACAGAATTCAGGTTTGATATTAAGCTTTACATTTTTTATTTTTACAAGTGCATTCTTCACTGAACAGGGATGACTGGGCTTGTTGGTCATCATCGCTGGTATCTGCTAGCTTCTTCATGGTTTCTAAAAATGAGTAGCTATTGTTTACATTCCTGCCATTGACATAGAGGAAATGAGGCACATCAAAATCCCAGAGAGATGCTGAAGATTAAAAATGACTTGTTTTTATGTTTTTTTTATTTATAGTTTGTTTGGCATAGATCAATGGCCTTACTGTGAGATGTCTTTGGGAGTGACCATTTAGAAACCAAATGTTCCTCGTTTTAATGTGATTTAAAACACCCTTGTTCTTCTCTGCTTAAAATCATGTGTTAGTGAACCACTTGCTGCGGTGCTCTAATCAGGGTAGAGAATCCAAGGTCTGTACAAAAAATGGTCTCTGAGAGATGTTCAGTCATGCATCACTTCATCTCTCAGCCATCCAAAGCAGAATTCTGTCATGCAATCAGCAGCCTGCCGTGTGATATTCACCGCACTCATTTAATACTTATCAAAACATAAGAACATTTGTATTTGTCTGTGCCATTATGACGTTATCCAGTTGCGTATTTCCCTCAGTCTCTTAATGACCCTTTTTGTCTGTTGTTGTTTTTTTTTTTCCTTTGCACTTTTGCGCCGATGTTTCTATTTTTCCTGTTACTCTCTTTTTTTAAATTCTCCATTTCTCCCCTCTCTTCAGGGCTTCTTTCGCAGGACCATCCAGAAGAACCTCCACCCAGCTTACTCCTGTAAATATGAAGGTTGCTGTGTCATCGACAAGATCACCCGCAACCAGTGCCAGCTGTGCCGCTTTAAGAAGTGCATCTCTGTGGGCATGGCCATGGACTGTGAGTTATTATGAGCTCATGTTATCACTACTAGTATGTCACTGTATAATCCTGTAGATGGCACACCTTTGGCAAATGTGTCTTAATCATGAGTACAGTACTCACAGGTACAGTACCACATTGATTTCTGCACTTAGTAGAATACACACACACACACACACACACACACACACACACACACACACACGCACGCACTTACTAATCCTCAACACCAACAGCTAATTTGGGGATCATTTCAGTTTAGTATGAAAGCTGCTCCTGTGAATAAAGGAACTGGTCTCTGTTCAATTTCCAACACAAATTCACAACACCTGCACATCACACCCACCACGCTGAGCTTGAAAGCTCCTTCAAAGTCCTTCAAATCCTTTTCACATTCTGCATCACAGCCGACACTTCATTCTGCCTACTTTTCAATATCTCACTCGTTATTTTGAAGGTCACAAAGCTTCACTTCCACAGTGCTGAAAATGTATTGATCTATTCTCCTACCGGTGCATCACAACTGAATTCAAACAAAGCCACACGTGTGGTCCTTGTGAGTATAATGAATTAAAATATCAGTGTGGCATTGAAGTTCTCGGATAGCAGAGCTCTGTGATTAAAAGCACTCAGAGAATGAGTCATCCGGACACATTGCCAGTTTAAATGGACAAAATGTACAACCAAACCTCCATCAAGGCCAACAGTTAAAAAGTATTTTTGTTGATTCTTTCATTTGTAAAGAGTTTGTTGAATTGTTAGACATTTTGTTTTGTCTTTGAGTATTCAAAGTCACATTCAGTCATTGTAGCAGTTTTAGCATGCACTGGTTAGCATTTAGCATAAACCATCCCTGTGATTAAGTGCTGTTTCACAGAGCTGCTTCCATGCCTGGTCACTCAGTTTTGCATTTAAGATAATATTAATGATCTATTCCTTTCCTTACCTTCAGTTGATAAAGAGCAATTAAAGATACCTCGCCAACAGAAAATCATTCAATAATCTATAGATGCAATAAGAATAACAAGGAAAGTTATTACCTATAGATCTGACGCTTTCTGACGTCGCTTTGGATAAAAGCTTCTGCTAAGTGAATTGTAGAATCTGACAACATTTGCTGTAACGTCACTTCACCGATCTCCTTTCTGCCCATCAGTGGTGTTGGACGACTCAAAGCGCGTGGCCAAGCGGCGTCTGATAGAGGAGAATCGACAGAAAAGAAAGAGGGAAGAGATGGTGAAGACGATGCAGACGAGGCCCGAGCCAACAAACGAAGAGTGGGAGCTGATCAGGATGGCAACCGAAGCCCACCGGCACACCAACGCTCAGGGCGCCAGCTGGAAACAGAAGCGCAAGTTCATGGTGAGCATGTCAGTTTTGAGCCGACAGAGACTTCAGCGCTGTCGTTTAGTAATGAAGAGAAATGTATTATAAACAAGTTCCTTATTTATAAGGGAGGTGGATGTTATGAACCAAAAGTCGTATCTCGATACATGATACATATCTGTGGTTTATAAAATTTTGCTCAGAGAGGGAGAGAGGTGGAGCCGATAGAAGAGGGACAGACAATGAGAAGAAACAGGGGAACAGGATGCTCCACAGAAGAAACATATAAGTTATTTTAACGCAACACTTCTTAACATTGTAAGCAATTGATGCGTAACACTTTTTTATAGCCCACTAAGGCTTATAGGGTTCTATAATACAGTTACTATAGCATTCCTAGATTTAACCCAAAAAAAACACATTTTTTTAAAAGTCCAAATTGAACATACATGTTTCCTACAGATCTCCAAAATATAAGACAAACAATGGTAATAATCCAGAAGAAAGTTGTTATCATTCTGGATACGTTTTTAAAATGATTAAAATACATAATCCAATACAAGATTCATATATAAAACTCAGGTTCCAGTACTTACTCTTCTTTTAGCTTGTTTTGCTGTCACTTTAATTTGCTGTACTTCCAAAATTAAGCTAACACATGATGGAAAGTTATTTAATTTTCACAGAAACATTTTGGACAGCACTTCTTTTCATCAGCAACTCAATTATTGCCGTCCCATGTGGTCGCAGCCACATGCAGACGCATGTGTCTACAACGCAGACCTTAGGCTAATGTCAGATGACAGTTACCCAGCAACCAGTCCCTGAACAGTCGGATGAAGTTTTTTTAAAGACTGCTGAAAAGTTGCTCAGGTGGCGGGGGCGGGGTGGGGGGATTAATAGTCCAAGGTGAACGATGGAGAGAGGTATGCCTAAGAGAAAATATCAGATCCTTTATGTGGGAGTACATCAAATAACATTCAATTAGAGCACAGACCCTGTCTGCTGTTATAGATGCTTCACTTCTTAATGCTCTGCATCGGCTGTGATGAACTGAAACAAAATAGGCAGTCAATTAGGTAAAGAATACAAGGAAGACTTTGTTTTAAATGTGTCTGCGTGTGTAAGATATGGATGTAGCTTTTAAGTGCCTTAAACCTGCATTTTTTTTTTCAAATTGCCAAGAAGGAGAAAATCCAAAGTAAAATGACCCTACTTTCACTTCATTGATGACCTTTGTAAACATTGCTCTCTGGTCTCAATCACCTGTTTAAAGTCTGCTCTGATACAACATGATGTTCATTTGGTACATTAGGTTGGTCTTAAAATAAATGGTAATGCTGTAAGGTTGTAGGGTGTGCCTACCAGTAATGGAGAAGTCTCTGCCATGGCGGCCTTTCGAATACGATAGGCAAATTGAAGTATCCTAATATGGTCACTACTGTTTAATAGTAGTGCACACTGCTACTACTTAAAAAAGGAGAATTCAAGGCTTCACAATACTATGAAAATGATATTTATACCTGGAACATATTTGTCATTTATCATATTCTCTACAACTCTTATAAACTTCCATTATTTAGCAATGTATTACAACGTGGCTCATATAATTGTCTCCTTTCTGCCAGTTTGGTCTTTCATGGACCAGCGCTAGTTAAATGAGTTCCTGTCTGTGGCAGTGAATGGTCTTATTAACTGTGTCGTGTCTTGTTTCTAGCCCGATGACATCGGCCAGGGTCCAATTGTTCCCACTTCGGACGGCGATAAGGTGGACCTAGAAGCCTTCAGCGAGTTCACTAAGATCATGACCCCCGCCATCACCCGTGTCGTCGACTTTGCCAAGAAATTGCCCATGTTCTCAGAGGTAGGTTCAGCTGTAGACCTAGAGTTAACATTCAATCTAATGTGTGGTCTTGAGTCAATCATCATCATCGGTAGTCTAAGAAAATAACGGATGCTTTCAGTGAGAGTGCTTCACAGTATCTTTTGGCATGTGTACTTTGTCTGCACTATTACATTTAAACAAGAAAGGACAGGCCATATTTGAAAAGTTTAGAAATTTCCAATTTTCTTATCCTCTTCCATTAAAATGGATTGTCTGATCCTGAGTTAGCAACAGTTTGACAGGGAGACCTGTCAAGGCTTCACATGCTAATGGAGTGTGCATGGGGCTGTTGAAGGTGGTCGGTCCGAGGGGGTAGCTGTGGCTCAGTTGGGTGTTTCCCAACTGGAGGATCATGGGTTCGATCCCCAGCTCCTGCAGGACAAGACACTGCCTCGTCGACGGCAAATAAATGTGTATGAATGGGATTAGTTAATACTGATTGTCACTTTACAAAACAGCCTCAGCCATCAGTGTGTGAATGGGTGTGAATGTGGAGCTGTGACTTTGAGTAGTCAGCAGACTAGAAAAGAGCTAAACAAGCTTAGGTCCATTTACCATTTTCTTTTTTCCTTTTCTTGTATAGCTTTTATTAACCAAAAACCACAGTAGCAAAAACACTATAGGGAACATACAGTGCAGGTTTCGGTTCTAACAGTAGCTGTGATTGTTGGAGTGGCCTGCCAACTTACAACTATTACTGCAGCCAGAAAGGGTTGTAAGATGTCCATAGAACTGATGAATGTTTTGTTGTTGTTGTTGCTGTTGTTTGTCTTTGAGAGAGGGTGCAGCGTTTTTCAAAAACCACAAAATGAGTAAAAGAGTTTATAGAAGGAGCCATGACGATAAAAAATGGAGGGCATTATGACACCAGACAGTGTGAGGCAGTGCAACACTTCTCCAGTCGATCTATTTGCAGCTTCTCCTACACTCTCTGCTTCATTGATGACACTCAGTAAATCTTGGTATAAATCCAGTTTTTATGATGGTTGTGGGCTACTCAATATGCCAACTCTACACAAACCTAAAGGAATGGTTCAGATTTGTTGAAGTAGTGTAATATGAGGTACTTGTCAATAGTAAATGTATTAGCCACACGAGATCCCAGTCAGCTCGGACCTTTTAATGAGTAACTGGCCAGAGATGACGGCTATACAGTCCGTCACTGCAGACCATTTGTTTCTCATAAATAAGCTAAATAAGTAAAAAACTGACCTGCACATCATTGACGATGTAAGTGTACGCTATTTATAGCACTATTTCTTGACACAAAGAAAAGCCTAGCTTCCATGTCCCTGGTCAGTTTCTCAATAAAGGGGCCAAGCTGAGCAGCATCTCCTGTTGCTTATACACTTACTATTGATACAATCGAACTAACGAACCCCCAAAACCAACTATCCCTTTAATTTAATTATTTCAAAGCTGGAAGAAAAACTTCCTTTTGTGGAGCTGCAGCTACAGTTTAAAATGAGGAAAATGTGATTTTAAGAGTGCATTTATTTATATTATGGGATGCTACATGCTCTAAATCAGAGTGCAGAGTAACACCAGCAGCTCTGTCCTGCTCTTTATTAGATTCAAGAAAGTTTAAAGTCCAACATTTTTGAAACCCTTCAGCATTTGACTAATCATGACAACAGCCAACATGATTGGGGTTTCTTGTGTAGCCAGCAGATTAACTTTTAAAGACTTCCTTATCTGTGCTCTGGTTCAGCTATTGCATTTAGGTCAATGTGTACCGCCTCCTCTGCTTACCACACAGACAGTTTTCCAGTTTGCGATCAAAGCCGCATTTAATTTGATTTATACTCAGACTGCAAAGAAATTTCAAACAACCAGAACTCTTCTGCTACCAAAACACTACTCTTTTGTGCAAAGTCAAAAAAATTACTGTAAAGAAAAAGTCCAATAAGTTGTCCTAGTATGAACACAAAGAAGCAGTCAGGGTGTGTCCTGAATCAAACTCTCATCCATGTACTGTAGTTTCCATTCCTTAAATAAAAATCATCTGGTTGTTTACTTCTTCCTAAGCAGTAAATTGAGATTGAGAAACTTAAAGTTCATCAAATATTTACATGATCCTTTACAGAAAGGAGGAAGATTAGGTAGTGATTTCAGACTTTTACTTGTAGGCTTTCTCCAATCATGGTCCCCTTTCACAAGTACTTTTCCTGCAGCCTTTCTCAGCTGCTTTTTCACCAAATCTTAATGCCCCCCCCTTCCCCCATGCTGCCATCCCAGCCCCCCTTCTCTTCCTCTCTGGACGAAGCGATGACTCACCACTTAGAGATACTGCACTGCTGTCCTGCTAATCTCCAAGTACTGTCTACCATGTTATTTAAAACAAACGACACAGGCTTTGCTGTGAATTAAAATGATAGCCTGCTGTCTGCAAGGAAGCACTCAAAAATAACTAATAACTAACTATGCTGGGGTTGTTTAAAAAAAAAAAAAAAAGCTGTAATACCATATCCCACTGTGGGGGAAAAAACACTTCAGTATATATGATACTGAATCATTTTCCTTCCACATATTAAAAGCATCGAAAGCTGTCATTGTCAGCTAGAATTTGTCGGTATTGCAAAAATGAAAAGAATCTTAATGTTTTTCAACCTCTGTGGCAGTGGAAGGTATGACTTCAGTTCTTTTGTGTTTAAGGGTTTCAAAGGAATACTTTCTGTTGTTTGAGGTCAGGTTGTAGAAGGTCAATATCAATAGAAACAAAGTGCACTATGTACATCAAATAAGAGACAGAACAGCCTCTGTTTGGAGGCCCTAGTGTCTACATGGAAGCTAAGCTAAGCTATGTGCAGCTGCAGATGGGGCAATGACTACCATGTTCTTTGGCCTCTTAAAGTCTTCCATGTAAAACAACTGTTCAGTTTATATTTTTGAATATTTAATTATGCCCCACATTTCTATTCAAACAAAGGCCCTGTGTTCCTACTCATGCGCCAAGCTATGCATAATGCAGTTTATATGTCTGCTGTTCAGGTCAGAAAGTGCTGGGGCAAGCGAGGTCTGAAATCAAACTTCACCTTTCTGAAGCTACCACAGTCTGCACCATGTTTGTGATTTTGCAGACTGTTCAAACAGAGACTGTCCTGGTCAACATAGAGATCACAGAGCTAGCTGCTGAGTGGAAATTACCTCAGGCAGCAGAGACCAGCTGCGATAAATGTATACATTAACACTCCAGGGGCAAGTCAACTTCTGCTCATAATCCTTTCTGGAGAGGATTATGAAAGAGTGGCGCTAAATAATCCAGATAGACACTTTCTACAGAGCACTAATGAACCAATTAATCCAATTAAAATACAACTCAGTGAAAAAATCAACCCCTGTCTCATCTGTTAAAGTAATTCTGGTTTTCTAGGGTTCACAAAATAATCCCCTCCTCTCAACTATTAACAGCATCTCATCATTTTCATTGTATTCTATTTTCTTTCATGCGGAATTTCATTTTATTACCACTGACCCAAAAAGCTGATCTGACACAGCGCTCAATCAAACAATCAATCTTTATTTGTATAGCGCCAATTCATAACAAATATTATCTGGAAACATTTTACAAAAGAGCAGGTCAAGAACATTACTCGTTCATATATTACAACGTTAATCCATCATGAGCTCAACAATTAGCAACAATTAGCAAAGTTACAGTGATGGGCTACAGGGCTGTAGTGTGGTTCCAAAGGAAAGGGCCGTTTTGTCCAAATAAAGCCATGAAAATATCCGAAAGTTTAAAAAAAAATATACGCTGGACTTTCTTCAGTTGGTAAACTACGTACGTGTTTCTGGTGTCCCTGTTTGCGGCGCTAAATAAATTAACTTCTATGTTTGAACCCTGGCTGGCCTCTATAAACATGGACTGTACTGACTGTTATCTGAAGTACGAAGTACACTTCCTATTGATGAGCACCTCATACAACCCCACTTCAAAAAAGCCATCTATCCCTTCAATCCTTAACAACATAATGCCTCAAGTCTCTGCTAATGGTAAGAGCTTCCGAGTTGAAGATATTATTGGATAGTTCGGCTGAAGAGAGTTAGGAATTGTTGGGAGGAGAAAGTGAGGCATGACATGCAGCAAAGGGCAGAGGTCGGATTCAAACCCTAAGGCTGCTGCGACGAGGACTATAGCCTCCTTACATGGGGCATGTGACATAACCATCAGGCTACGGGCACCCCAAACTTCACATTTGTTCAGTACTTTAATAACTAAGGTAGTAAAAATGTATTTTGGATTATTTTCCTAAACTACATGAAAACTATTTTAAGATTGTTGGCCTGTTACATAGAATTTATTTTAAAGATTTTTTGGGGGCTTCTTGGGCCTTTTTTTAATGCAGAGATAGGATAGTGGATAGAGTTGGAAATCAGGGAAAGAGAGAGTGGGGAACGACATGTGGGAAAGGAGCCACAGGCTGGATTCAAACCCGGGCCGCTCGCCTTAAAGAGCACGGCCTCCGTACATGGGGCGCGCGCATTAACCACTGCGCCACCAGTGCCCCTTACATAGAATTTCTTTAAACGGTCATGTCAGTTGCTGTCTTATTACTTCTGCTCACTCTGTGTGTTGTTGTTGTTTCCCAGCTGCCTTGTGAAGACCAGATCATCTTGTTGAAAGGCTGCTGCATGGAGATCATGTCGCTGCGAGCCGCTGTACGCTACGACCCAGAAAGTGAGACGTTGACGCTAAACGGCGAGATGGCTGTGAAACGGGAGCAGCTGAAGAACGGCGGGTTGGGCGTGGTTTCGGACGCCATCTTCGACTTGGGAAAGAGCCTGGCTCAGTTTAACCTGGACGACACGGAGGTAGCTCTGATGCAGGCAGTGCTGCTCATGAGCTCAGGTGAGGAGTGTTGATAGAAGAAGAATTTCATCTAAGTTTCCTTTTTCACATTCCTGTTCATTCTGATATTTCTAATAATACCATTTATGGTCTTTTATTGAGTTTAAATTGATTCTTATCTGTCCTATTTCCAGTAAGCAGCGTTTTCCTCAAGCTTAGAATAAAAGATACAGGATAAAACTTACTAAAATATTGAATAACCAACTCATGAATCTTAAATTACACCAAGGCTGTGCTGCTTCAGTTCAGAATACTTAACAGGTTCACAAAATATGTCATAAGATCTGTATGAACACAAAGATCAGTGGCTCCAGTACATATACCATCATTTAATCAATTGTGGGATGAACTTAATTGTAAAATGTTCAATGGAGTCAGCCAATCTGTGTGCACCTTCAGGTGTTGGGTAGTGATTAACAAATGCAACAAATTATAACAAGGTCAAAGTTCCTTTTTGGTCTGAACTCACCCTTACAGCCCTTGTTGTCATCCTAAGATAAGAAATACAAGTAGTAAATTCACTGTTGTAGGAAGCAATTTTCTTCCTGTTAAGTTGGAAATGTTTCATTCACTCAATGTAATCTTCCTCTCTTCTCAATCTTCTCCATTCAGACCGTTCAGGGCTGACCAGCATGGATAAGATCGAGCAGTGCCAAGAGGCCTATCTGCTGGCCTTTGAGCACTACATCAACTACCGCAAGCACAACATTCCCCACTTCTGGCCCAAGCTGCTGATGAAGGTGACTGACCTGCGCATGATCGGAGCTTGCCACGCCAGCCGCTTCCTCCATATGAAGGTGGAGTGTCCCAACGAACTCTTTCCCCCACTCTTCCTTGAGGTCTTCGAGGACCAGGATGTGTGACTTGAAGAGACGATGCCACCCCCTAAAAAAAAGCCTGGACAGAAAAGCGTAGGAATGAAATCGGGGTGTTTTTTTTGTTTCTTTAGTTTTTCAAAAGAGGAAGTGTGTGGGGAAGTAAAAAATTAGTTTTTTTTTTTTTTTTGCTTTTTTTTTGTCCAACACCATCAAGACCCTCCACCTGCCACCAGCAACACACGCCAACATCATGAGAGAGAAACACACTGACAATCCAGCTTTTCTTTTTGTCGTGCTGATAGGTACACACACAGAGTACAAAGCTGTAAACAGTTTAACATATTCAAAGATTCAAATTCCAAACACACTGCCATAAACATTCACTATCTCTATATGCAAACATAAGTCTCTTCAATTAACTCCTCTCACACCCATAAGCTATACTCTGGTCCGACACTAATGCAAAATGAGGGGCTACTCCCACCACATCCACCTCCACCTTTAAAAATCTTTGGGACCTGACCATTAGCTCGTCAGACAACCCCCCGCACCCCTGCCCATCTCCTACACGTCTCCATATCTGCAATGGCTTCCTCCATCTGCACGTGCAGCCCTCCCCTAAGGGTTCTCTTGAGTGTTTGTCGACCTACCTCCTTCACACACTGACCTCTCCTTCTCTTTCTGTCTCTCATACAGTACACACAGAGGAAAACACACTACATCAACGCTCAAAACACACCCATACACTCTTACCTCATACCTCAGAAAATGTTAACCCTAAACCTCTGCTGTGTTGCAGTCGGAACACTTTGATTAAGCCCTTATCTATTTTGTAATTTGTATTAAAAAAAAAACCTGATTAATATTTGTATATATATATATAGCACTACAAAAGTTGCTGTGTGGGTTAATTAAGAAAATTAAGTGTAAAAAAAGTGATGGGAACCTCACGGTGCTTTCTGTGAAGATACTGAATGAAGAGTCTTGATCTAAGATTCACTGTGCGCTTCAAGAAAGAGTGTATCGATGTGTAGAAAGTTACTGTCGTTAAACAGTTCATGCTTATCCTGTGAGCTGAGTTAAATCAATAGTTCACTGCTGAGTTTATCAGAAAAGTTGCTTGATAACTTGCTAAATAAGAAAAAGACTGTATGCTAGCTATAGCACGAGAAAGAAATTGTTAGCGACTAGCCGGTAAGGTATACTGTAGCATTTAGCAGCTAATTTGTAGGATACTTTTAATTTATCACAGCACATAAAGAATTATTATTCTTCCAAACAATTTTACCGCACTACAAAATTGCAATCTTACTGTATAGTAGACTTTTAGGGTGTAATGTCTGAATTTGCACCCAGCCCAAAGGAATGCTATCGTGGCTAACTAAAAGCCTGGTGTTTAAATAGGTAACTGTTTGCTAACAAGTTCAGTCAGTGATTATAGACTTTTCTGCTGCCAACAAATGGCCAAAGCAACCTGTGAAGTTAGCATGTTAGCATACTAGCCACTTCTATTCTTAATTCTTCTTTGGCGTTGCGTTTGGGATAGGGGATCTTGCTCCATATAAATACATTCTTTCAAAACTTCTAGTGCACAGTCAGTAAATATTTTAACAGAAAGCATTTCTTGATTCATTACAGAATTTAATGCAAAATGTTTTGAATTTGGATTTTAAATGTTTAGTAAATAAATATTTTAAGTAATTTCAAAATGAAGTTTTCAGCTGGGCTATATTAAAGTGTTCCCTCTAGAATCATAACACGTTGCAATACTGACAAGTCATGTCCTTAATTATAGTATTGATATATATATATATATATATATATATATATATATATACATATATTCACTATGTATGTATATATTCTGAGTACATAGGTATTACTGCTAGAATACCTCTCTGACACATACCTCCTGTTTCCATTATCTCTCACACACAAGTATTATGCACACACATCTTCAGTTGTTTTTTGAAGTAATACCTCAGCTTGTTGTCGATGCTCATCCCTCCTTCCTCGTCCATAACCTCTGGGCTGTACCACATCTTCTGTCTCCATGTGTGTATGTGAGTGCTTCTTATCAATGGAACCCTGCCCTGTTGTCGCAACGTAGCCCCGCCTCCTCACCTCCACGCTGTCTTGTGATAGGTTCAGCTCGGGCAGGTGGTGGAGGGGGATGTTGTCACTTACCTCTGCAAACCTAGGCTGCCCCCTGTAACTTGTTTCAAGTTCAGCCTGAAACAGACAGATTCTACCTCACACACCTCTCATCTCAGTGCAGCTGCCCCTCTGTCTGCAACACACTGACATGCATGATATACAAACATACACACATAGTAGACAATGAGTTACCAACATGGACCCGATGAGCATGCTGCTCAGACAACAGTGTACTGCACGTGTATAAAACAGGCCATGGATCATTATTCAACAGCTGACATGGAAGATTTTGTTATTTTCTCCCCTTTTTTCATTTTGACCGCTCATCACCTGGGACCAACAGTCTCTCTGGTTTTGTTTTTATTCAGGAAGCCGGAATGACAATGAGGGCAGGGGTGAATATGTGACATTACAGTGTGCCGATTGAACTTACAGAAACTGTCAGGGGACAACGACAGCTGGAAGCTGGGACTCCAGTGGAAGCCATTTTGGCCTGATCGGGTCAGGCCAATGGACTATTGTGGGTGGTGGACTGGGAGGTGAATAAACAGCAAATGAAGTAAGCAGTAGTCTCCTGTGGATACGGTATCATCCAGAGGGGAAGGAAACGACGAGCGAGCAACTGTGGCGGGGAGCGATGTGACTTTAAAGCAAGCTGAAAGAAAAACCCCCCACATAAAAAAAACGGACCCTCGCACTTTCAGTACATCTCCAAATCCTTCCCCCTCTGTCGCAGCAGAAATGGACGCCGAGCCATTTCAAAGACACTTTGCGACTTTCCTATCCCAGATTTACAATATGAATTAAACACTGCTGAATTAAGCTCCACCAACCACATCCCAAATGCCATCCACTACAAATAACTATCAGGTTTTTTTCTGTTGCACTAGAACCACAATGTCTGTATCCCTTAACGGCCCTCCTTGACCCCTCCCTCTTAATCCTTCTCCCAGACATATTTGTGTTTCTACCTGACTTTAGCAGTCTTAACAATGTTCTCTGAAATATATCTCACACACGAAAACACACACAGTCTCATCTCTTCAGATTACCTGTTGAAACCAACAAGGACTGTGACATGGCCTTCAGATGCCACTACTCTCAGTGTTACTATACTTTCTTTTCTATGTATGTTGCAGGGTATTAAAATAGAATGATAAGCGCTGACTATACAGGGATACACACACACACACACACACACACACACACAGCAGCAGCACACACACAGCAATAGAATGATCAAGCAGTACAGCTTCACGCCCGCCGTCCCGAGGCCCGCTGTGTTTGTACTTAGCTCACTGTGAATGAAAGCCATGCTGCAACCGGGTCATGGCTCATAGCAGGGAACCACTGGCTTAGTAATCCTGACAAGCGTTTGTGCCTCACAGAGGTGGTTATACAGATATACATAATACATTATACAGAAGCATATATTTATAGACATAGATAATATATATAAAAATGTTACAGTTGTTTTATGTGGCATTAGAGCTATCAGCGAGTGACTTTTTGCTGCCAGCTCAAATCGGATCACAAATCTATCTGACCCGTCATGTAGCAGAGGGTTAGCAGAATTCAGTATTGAGATCTGTACAGTTATATTTAAGCATTGTTTCAAGTTGACCTCATTATGATGCTTGTTTGCCTTGTGATGATCACCAACTGACCTTCATCATATACCCATCTTTTCAATACCTCTAAATCACTTCACTATCACAAGAAGTACCTTAAGCAGAACTACTTTTCCTTTTTTTTCCTATTACGGGAATCAGGTCCGCATAGCTCAGTGAAATAAGATTTAGATTTAAGCTGGCAGCAGCACAGCCGCTCTCTCTCTCTTTCTCTCACTCTCTGTCTCTCAGCCAAATGATCACCGGAGAAATCCTCCCCTTGTCCTCTTAAAAAAAAAAAAACACACACCAGCACCACAGAGCACACTGCCTTCAGCCATGATCAGTTGCACCAGCATAAGCAGAGAGACTCAACATTATATTCAGTGACCATACTCCTCACAAAAAAAGCGATATACCTGGACATCACTGCTAGCTGTGATACCGCAGACTGCATGCAAATCTAATCAGTGTTTCAAATCTGATCCTTTAAAAGTGTTGTTTTTGAATCGGGAGTTTTGGAGAGGGACTTGTTTTGCTGTCTGTATGACCTTGGTTGTCTTAGTGACGAGGCAACTGGGCACACAGTGAACAAGAGCACGTTTTGTGTCCCACTACTCAAAATGCTCCGACAGTTCAATGACACAGAGTACTTTTTCTGCTTTAATCTTTAATACAGTGTCTCCTCGTGAAGCTTAAAATGTTTTCCTTCTGTTCATATGAGACATGTGTAATGTCAGAATAGAAAACTGGATTTGCTCAGCTCGGTGCACAGTCTGGGTGGTGCTACAGGAGGCTTATTTGCAGGCAAAGCCAGATGTGAATGTCTCCAGTTTAAAGAGCCACAGAGTAGAAGAGGAAAAAGGTGTTTTCTTTTCACATTAAAGCACCTTTTGACAAAAGCAGCAGTGTTGAGGCCCAGCAGGATTGCCTCAAAAGCTGCATCACTTTCCACACTACAACATAAAACTGAAGTCCTTTTCATAGAGTGACCACAGAATTGTGTTTCCTCACGACGCTCTCTGTCTCTTACATGAAACTTTGATGTTACGTTTACAATTAACTAAAATGTGAACTTGATGCTAAGCTCTGCCGCTGCAGTGTGGCACGAAACTAAAACAACAACTCTCTCACAAGTTGTTTTTTCACAAATAAACTGTGTATACTACTTTCATTACTTACCCAGGGAAAACATCTGTTAGTTAGTCAACAGCATCCTTCCTCATATCTGTCTCCTCCCGTCCTTTCTTTCACTTTCATTTTGTCCCCTGCAATGTTCCCCGTTGAGCTCCCGATCATCCAGCCTTCCTCCTTACATCCTGGTCCCTTTCCAATATTTATTTCACCTTGTCCTCTATGTGTGCACCTTCCTCCTCCCGTCCCACACATGCACACAGTCACAAAAAAAAACCTACCCCAACTCATACTTAGCACTCTTTGGTGGAGAAAGACGACAATCCCTGCAGGAATATGTCCACATGTGGAATGTAAAATACTGAAATTGTACGATTAAAGACACCGTGTGAAGTCACACTCATGTTGTTTTTCGATGTTGTTGATGTTGCTTTTGTTGTGCACCAAGTGTTTATTGTTATGCTTACTCTAGGGTGAATGAGTTTGCAGGTTGGGGTTAAAACCTTAAACAAGTGACAGTCTTCGACTAATGAGTCGTTTTTTATATATATATATATGTATATATATATACATATATATATATGTATAGTATGTTTATAAAAGACTTGTGGTGTGAGGATTGAAAACCATGAACGGTATAAAGCAAGAGTTAAGGTAACTCTGTTTTGGATAGAGGAAAGAAAAAGCTGTTTTTTATGATGATTCTTTTATGCCGGTATTACTTTGCATCTGATTTTCTTGTAAAGTGAATGTCTGTCTATCTGTGTTGATGCTTTATTGTAAGAAATGGCTGTATATGCACTTTTCAGACCATCGTTGGTGCAGTGGTAACTAGTGCTCAAAATGTCACCCAAAAGGTGAGGGTTCAAACCACCTTCAGTTGAACTCATTGAACATCTGAACGGATATTTAAAACATTTCCTGGTTATACTTCATTAGTTCCCCTTATAGTGTACAGTACATTCAGAGTAACTCTGCAAAAAAGACTTCCCTCAGATGCACAATTAGTCAAATCATTGATGTTATCTGAATAATGTTTTGGCATCAAACTTGCTCTGGAGTGTTAAATGGACCAATCGATATGCTGGGAAACTATGGGCTTTATCACATTTGGCCCTTGTTTGGTATAGTAGTATAGTAGGCCTACATACTTCCTACTGAGCCCTAAAATGATCTTAATAAGTCAAGGCATGTACTTTCCCTGAATCCATCTTCTGTCAGCGATAAGAGAAACTGTAGCTAACTAGCTCATGAGCTAGTTTGATATATTTACAACTTCCTAACAGAACAGAATTTTGTTGAATTCAAAGTAAGTTCAGGCTCAGGGCACATCGATTTTATAACAGCTGTAACTGAGCATTAACTAATAAGGAACTTGATGTGATCTGTAGCAAATTTTGAGCAATTAGTCTTTCTTAAAACAGACACTATGCACAATGAACATACATTCATCCATGTTGGAAAACAAGCCACAGGGCCATTTTAATGAATCATGATCCCACGCTTAGCACCAAGCTATTCCCTGATATGATGAGTAAGCATGATTCCCAAACCCTTAGCATGCACATGTCTTAGCTCTAACACCAGACTGATTGCTGTTCTAGACGGTATTGTCTCTACTTCCAGTAGAATTGATGGCTTACTCTCTTAAGTGAAAATGTTGCGTACATTTACTTAAGACTACAGGCTGAAGCCAAATCCATTATTCCATTAGTTCGACTGAAGGTGAATGAACCTGAGCCCTGCTTTTCACAGTTGCTTGGGCTGTATCACTTGCTTAGCTGGACTTTTGCTCTTACCTCTGATCTGGGTCAATGAAAGAAACAGCACCTGAATCATGATATTAGCCTTTGTAAAGCTCAA